ATGATTTTACGTCTAGAACATCTTGTATTTTCTATCGTAAGTAAGAACCTCAGGGCAGACTCACAAAGAAACATTTGTTTTATAGGGTTGAACAAAAATACTAAGCTGTTGAGCAAAGGGGATGGAGAAGCTTTGATGGTAGAGATTAGTCAGTATGATAAACTGTTTCTCAAGGTTGGCCAGGAGCAACATAGGGTTTGAGATTTGGTCTTGCACCACCGTCTTACCAAGCCTCTGTGAAGATAAGTTTATGTTGGGAGAAATTGCATCTGTGTGGGAACCCAGAGCCATGGCATCTACTCCACAGGCCAGCATCTTGATTCTGGCTTAAGCTATTGGAGAAGATGGTTTGCAAGAACCTACATTCTTAGTATGTCTCTCTGCTCAGCCCTTAAAAAGTAGATAAAGAATCTTAAGACAATTCTCACAGCAGGTAAGAATTCTCTCACAGTGCCTGCACTGAGTCTTCTCAAGAAAAGGCCTGTCAATAATCAGGTGTGGGTGGGAGAGGGTTTGCAGGGGGAACCTCTCCCTGCTGTGCTATTGGCTACTGATGGATTCACAGAGAGGCATCATTGCTTCCAGTTATGAACCTACTTGTTACCCCAACAGGCTCCAAGTGTTCACTCTGATGGCCTTGGCTAAACTAAAGGGGCACAAAACAAACTTACAAGCATGAATCTGGAGAAAGAGACAGTTAGAGACTGGAAGGGGGAGAGTGGGAAGCAGTGGAGGGGAAATGGGAAGGAGTGGGAACAGAATCCTCAAAAACTGTCAAAAAACAAAATTAATCAGTAAAAAATTAGGTAAAGTTTAGAGAACCGTTCAGCCCAACAGTGGTAGGAGGGAACTCATAGAGTCCAATAGAAAGACAGGACATCAAGTGGAGGGTGGGATTGCCATCCCATAGTCAAAAACTCTTACTCAGAATTGTTCCTGTCTACAAGAATTTCAGGGACAAAAATGGAGAAGAGACTGAGGGAAAGGATGTCCATTGACAGACCCAACTAGGATCCATCTCAAGGATCTCCAAGGCCTGACACTATTACTGATGCTATGGTGTGCTTACAGACAGGAGCCTAGCATGGCTGTCCTCTGAGAGGCCCAACAAGCATCTGACTGAGACAAACTCAGATATTTACACCCAACCATTTGACTGAAGTTGTTGAACCCTGTGGTTGAATTAGGGAAAGACTGGAAGAAGTTGAGAAGGAGAATGACCCCATAGGAAGACCAGCAGTCTCAACTAACCTAGATCCCTGAGATCTCTCACACACTGAGCCACCAACCAGGCAGCATACACCAGCCAGTTGGAGGCCCCCAACACATATACAGCAGAGGGCTACCTGGTCTGGTCTCAGTGCAAGAAGATGCTCCTAACCCTCAAAAGACTTTAGGCCCCAGGGAATGGGGAGGCCTGGCAGGGGGTGGGGGGGCATCCTCTTGAATACAGGGAGGAGGAATGGGATGAGAAACTGTAAAAGAGTAGATGGGGAGGAGGGCAGCAGCTGGACTGTAAAAAAAAAAATAAAAGTAATAAAAAAAAGTTAATCATGTAATTGTACCCTAGGAACGTTACATGTATTAATTTCCTGGAACTGATAAAAAATGTGAATGGCTTAAAGCAACAGAATTTACTCTCTCATATTTCTGGATTTTATAAAGCCACACTACCTTGAGAAACTGTAGGAAGGTTTTGGTTTGGTTGGTTTTGGCTCTTTCAGCTTCTGTCTGCCATTTGCATTTCTTGGCCTCTTTGGGACCTCCTCTAACCTCTGTTATATGCTGCTAATTGGACATTTGTCTTGGAGTCTCAGGATGGTTCCACTGCAGAATCTCTAGTCCCCCCTGGGCAGAGAGTCCTCATCTCAAGTCAGTCAAATGCTCAGGCTCCTTGCATTGCAAGACCATATGCTTTTTCTAGGTCTCCATTCAGCCCAACCAGCTGAAATATGTTCACATCCTTCTCAATCATATGTTGAAACCTTACCGCCCAGCACTTCCAAAACATGGCCTTCTTTGCAGCAGCAAGGTTGTTGCAGATGTCATTACTTAAATTAAATGAACGACTCTCAGGTGAGATGTAATTCACCATGACCTATAAGGGAAGTGTGGATGCAGACCCAGGCACACAGAAAGTGACACATGAAGACATAGGCTGAGGATGATAGCTGGTCTTGATGTCAACTAGACTACTTCTAGAATAATCCAAAATTTAAGTTATTGGGCACACTTGTTCTTGATTGGGTCATTTGAGGTGGGAAAACCCACCCCAAACCTTCTAGTGTCAGCTCATATAAAAAGAAAAAAGCTTTTCTCCTTTTGTCTGCTTGCCCTCTTGCTGGCAAGCTCATCTATCCTGATGCTGAGGCATTCCTTCACTGGTATTAGAACCTACTTCTTCAGGATTACAACGTTGACTTAGAACCAGTAGCTCTACAGGAATCCTCGAGATTCCAGCACCAGATTGAGACTGCTGAGACATCCAGCCTCATGGACTGAACCAGACTCTCAGCTTTTCCATCAGGAGACAGCCATTATTAGACTAGCCAGACCATAGCCTGTAAGCCACTCTAATAAGTGGTGTCTGTGTCTGCATGTCTATATGAGTGTCTCCTCTCTCTCTCCCTCCCCCCTCCCCTTTCCCTCCTCTTTCTCTCCCTCTCCTTCTCTTCCCTCTCCCTCTCTCTCTCCCCCCTGCTCTCCCTCCCTCTGTGTGCATGTGTCTGTCTGTCTGTCTGTCTCTCAGCTCTATTCCAGAGAACCTTGACTAACATATGGCTTTTTATTTCTGTACCCCAAACATCAGATATTGCCAGGAGACCACCAGAAGTACTCAAGAAGCACAGAATCAACTCTCCTTCACACCCAATGAGGAATCAGCCCTGAAGATCTTAGCCTTGCAGCCTGCAAAGTACCGAAAGGATGCTTTCTCTGGTGTAAGCCACTCAGCCAGCAGCGGTTCTTGCAGACTAACCCATCATACATATGAATTCCATTCACATGATAATATTTAAGTTATTTTTCTTTCATTTTACAATAGTGCTGAATTCACCTGTGGGTACTCCTCAGAAAGTGAGTCTCTTAATTTCCTACTTTACACATAACCATAATGAGCAATTAGCTCTCTACACACTTCTCATTTTGTACACTCATTTGAAGACAGTCTAATAAATAGAAATCTTTTGTCAAAGGGTCACAGAAAATAAAAAGGAAATATGTTGCTTTCCAAAAAGTTGTGACCCTTGTGTTATCTATGTGACTAGGGACTGTTGAATTTTTTTGTTGTTTTTTTTTTTTTTTGGTTTTTTTATTTTTGGTTTTTCGAGACAGGGTTTCTCTGTATAGTCCTGGCTGTCCTGGAACTCACTCTGTAAACCAGGCTGGCCTCGAACTCAGAAATGGACTGTTGCATTTTGTATTTATTTTACAACACTCGGGATTGAGCCTGGGCCTCGTTGTGGTAGGCAAGCCTTGTCTACCCCAGGGCTACATTCTCATCCCTTTTTTAAATTTTTGAGATTGGATCTTCACATTTTTAACCAGGTTGCCCTTGAACTCTCAAGGTATCCCAGGGAAGCCTTGAACTTGCCACCCTCCTCCTGCTCAGCATACTGAAGAGCAAGTGAAAGATTTCCACACCTTGTTACCATCATTTTCCTGGATCATTTCAAGTACACTCACAGAATCTGGGTCTGAGGACACATTCAGATATTTTCTTAAGTGGGGTGTGTGTATGCAAGTGTGCATGTATGTGCATGTGTACGTGTGTGTGTGTGTGTGTGTGTGTGTGTGTTTAACTGCGTGTTTGCATGTTTGTCTGGTCCTGTTCATTTCTCTTGCTTTTACAAAGCCACCTATGCAAAACTGCCACTATCTCTGGTTTCCACTTCCCTTAACTTAATTAAACAGAGTCCAGGAGCAGTGAATTCAAAAGAAGCATCAATTTTCTTAATGGACAGAGTTGCTTGTTTCGTTAATTTCAACTTTTCATGATTCAAAGTCAGTGTTTTTAAGTGCACGCCACCTGTCATAAGGAGAATTAGAGTAATTTGGGGGCTGTACTCCTTACCATTTTCCTTAACTGACTGATTTGGAAAACTACCTTCCACATTGTGCAGAAAACTGGGGCGGGTGTTGGCCATTTTTCTGCTCTTTCTGGTTGAGGGGGAAATTCTGCTCTCCTGCCTGTCCATCACCCTATGACTTCCTGGGCCGCTGAGGAATTTCTGTCTAAAATTTATCAATAACTAAATATAAATAAAACAAAATTGTCAAAGCTACCAAGAAAAGAAAGAAAGCATTTTCTGGGGAAGTCCCAGAGATTGTCTCTGCTTGTTTCTCCCATCACCTAGCATCCATGGTCCCTGCCCACCAGACAGCAAGAATCAGGTTTCTGCTCTCCAAACCCCAGACCTCCCAGTTACCTGTCCACCCACCCCCATCCTCTCAGCGCGCGCTTGCACGCACACACACACACACACACACACACACACACACACCTGCCACCCCTTGGCTGTTTAAAAGCCCTTGAGCTAGTGGATCCCTGAAGGGCTCCTCTGCAGCCTCCATCCACCTGGCGTGTGGTGCGGAAGAGCTGGAGAAATGGGATCCGGAGTGCATTCTGCCAGGGCAATAGGAAGTGATCGCTCCTGCAGTGAATCAAATCAGACTCTTTCTCTCTCTTCCCCTCCCTCTTTCCTTTGCTTTTCCAGACAGGGCGCCATCCCAGCTAACTTTCCCCTCACCCAACAATGCACACCAAGGGGGAACACGCCCGAAGCTCAGGCAGATGCCATCCTCAGGGTCTGGGCGCCCGAGGCCCCTGCACTCCTCCCGCCCCGGCAGAGGCCTCGGCTGGGCGCCCAGCAGCGACCAGGAAGGTCGAAGGGAGGGTGCGCTCCTCCCGCCCCACACCCAGTCTCTGAGCCGGATATATAGAGAGTCACGTTTGGGAGCCGGGAGAGCAGAGGCGCCGTTCAGAAAAGCTCGAGAGCCTCCTTCATCTCCGGGAGGACTGTGACCACCAGCCGGCAAGTCACCCGCACTGAAGCAGCAGGTACCAGGAGGAAGAGCGGGCGGGGAGGCCAGGAGGTTAGGCTAGGGGGACCTGCAGACTGTGGTTGCGAGGCAGGCAGGGGCCAGGAGAAAAGCGGTGCCCTGCCGCCCGTCCCTAGCCACTCACAGTCCTCCAGGGTCCTGTAGGCTCTAGGTCTCTCTGATTCTGTTAGGTGAGATGCACAGCCATTGGAAAACTGGAAAGGGCTGAGCAAGGTGAACATGGAGACCTCTCAGTAGTAACTGCGGACCAAGGGACAGAGGTATCTGATTGGTCCCACCCAAGCCTTCCTGGTGTAGGGGCTACTCCTAGAGGCAGCATATAGTTCGAGGCCACATGTGCAATGGTCTCCTTTCATGTCCTCCCTTACCCCCCTGGCCCACCTCAGGCTGTGAGCATCCAGACTCTCACTCAGAGATTCTTCAGGGTCACAAACCCCAGGCTGAAATGGGTTTCAGTGGCCAAATAGGTCTGTCCCTGGTCAGAAGTTTCTGACTTCCCCCAGTGACTTGGGCACCATGGAGAGAACAAGGGGATAGGTGCCCAGGCCTCCAGCTAGGACAGGTGGCTTATGGAAGGCTGTTCACACACACCTGGGGATGACACTACCCCTCCCCCCACCCGGAGCAATTGCAGTCAGTACAATTCATGCCCAACCTAGGAATGCCTCCCCCTTGCCAGGCTGCTGGCCCCAGTCTCCTTCCAGTCTCCTTTCGGGGTAAGATTATGAGCATTTTTTTTTTTTGGTCTTCTATCTATTAGATATTCAACCTATTGATGAGCTATTGTGATTAGTACCTCATCCTCTGGCAACCTTTTGAATCATGCCGAGTGAGTGCTCCATTGTGAGCAAGGAACCGAGTGAGCAGGGAACTCAACAGGGTTGTGTGTTTCTGCTTATTTGAGGCAGAGTTTGACATTGCAAATGAAAACTTAAGATTCAGCCAGTAGCTCCACAGTTCATCTCTCTGCATCTCCATCTATGTGATCTGGAGATTGACTTGAGGCCATAGTTACTCTAAGTCATAAAATACGGCAAAGAGATTAAATAAAATTTAAGGCAGCTTACAAAGGGCACAGGTAGTCATTTCAGCAAACTTCACATCTTAGGCTTTGGAGATTTCTCCTGACCAAACTTCAAGGACAGTGATTTCGTTCATAGTGTTTCTGAAGGCCTGTGCCTTACTCTTTCTTGATTTCCCTTATTCTACGGGCATCTTCCACTCCTATCTTAAGGGATCCCCCACACACACTCCAAATGGTAACATTAGGCTGCAGTTGTCTGTCAGAGAGAAGCAGTTCATGTGTGCTGGTCAGCGTCAATACCACCAGGGGAGGATAAGTGATGGTGAACTCCCCCAAGGAAACAAAATGTGAACCAGCTTCTGAAGAGGAACTGTTTCAGAGGGGCTGAGAGCCGGTAGTTTGTCTGTGTGTATCACTTTGGTTTATCAAGACCATAGACATCTTGGGGACTACAGAGACGGTTCAGGGGTTAGGAGCATTGGCTGCTTGTCTTGGTTAGGGTTACTAATGCTATGAAGAGACACATGACCACAGTGCCTCTTATAAAGTAAAATATTTAATTGGGGCTGGCTTACAGGCTCAGAGGTTTAGTCTATTACAGTCATGGCAGGAAACATGGCAGTGGGCAGTTCAACACACAGCTGGGAGTTCTAAATCTGGCCGCAGGAAGGGGGAGTGATACTGGGACTGACTTGAACATTTGAAACCCAAAGCTTACCCTCAGGGACACACTTCCTCCAAGGCTATACCTCCCAATCCCACTCCCTAAGCATTCAGATATAAGTCTGTGGGAGCCATTCTTACTCAAACCAACCACACTGCCCTGGCACGGGACCTGAGTTTTCACTTCCTAGCACTTATGGCTTACAACCATCTATAACTCCAGTTCTGAGATATGCCATGTTATGGCCTGTTTGGGCACCTGGCATCATTGCCAGTATATGTACATGCATGCAGGCAACAGATCGTTCTGAGTATCTGATAAAAGGTATAGAATATGAAACACACACTTTAGAAGGTCCCAACTTTCTTATATTCAAACATCCACATTTCATATATACTCATACTTATAACATAAAGAAATTTAAATAAATGAAAATGAAGTGTTTTTTAAATAAAAATACAGAAACCCTGATCATATGATTATTTTCCTTCTTTTCTCTTGAACATCCATGTTATACTTCCTTCTGGTAGCATTTGGTCAGCCATAAGAGTTCATGTTTCAATTCATTCATTCATTCATTCATTCATTCATGTTTTGACAGGGTCTCATGTAGCCCAAGCTGGCCTCGAACTTGCTATGTAGCTTTAAAATGACCTTTTTGCTTCTGCTTCTGGAGTGTTGACATTAACGGCATGCATCACCATGCCCAGTTTATGTAGTACTGAGAGTAAAGCCAGGGCTTCTGTGTACTAGGCAAGCTCTCTCCCAGCTGAGCTACATCCCTGGGCCCAAAAGGTTTGACAAGCACCATTGCAAGAGGACCACACCAGAGACCACCAGCCTGCTTGATCCCACCAGCATGCCCTGATGCTGGGGCTCCGTGGGAACATTTACTGGTGGTGAGCATACACACTTCATGTTTGTGTTGTTCACAGACCATCCTGAGTATCTAATAAAGAGGTATAGAATATGAAACACACACTTTTAGAAGGTCACAGCTTTCTGATATTCAAACATCCACATTTCATACATTCCACTAGTTTTCATGGGACCAGCTTTGCGAAATCCAGACTCAAGAACTGAGCTGAGCCCCCACATCTAGAATTTCAAATAACTTTCTAGATGTTTATGAGCAACATAAAACATGAAGAGGTAACCTTCAAGCCATGACTATGGTCTTAATAAGAGGCTTCACATTGTCATTTTACACTGGGTTCTCATTATCCCCTGATCCCAAATCGACAGCCCATTCTAGAGCTTACTGAGTAGTGGGGCTTCCTCACATCAATCCTAATTCAAGTTAGTTTCCTGAAAGGGCTAATGTTAACCTGTCACCTGCCCAAGGACAGATGACTTCCTGGAATGCTGGAGGGGGAGGGGACTGTGATTCTTGTGAGATAGTAAGTCATATGTTTTCACTTCAATAAACAAGGTTGGTTGCCCCAATGTTCAGTATGTGCTTGATCACATGTAGATGTCCAGGCAGGAAGTACGGCAGAATACGTGCTTACCCCTGACTGGGTGAAGGCAGAAAGTACCATACATAGCCTTGTGGTATTTGCCTTTATGGATACCTGACTAATATAAAATCAGGGCCATTTTTCTGGGAATCCCAAATATGGAGCTAGCTAGTGTTCATCTTCCTGGCAAGTACTAAATAAAGCTTGCTTTAATTGGATAATTCTGTAAGTCTTTCACTCATATATATATATATATATATATATATATATATATATATATATATATATATTCTTTACTGGCATAAGCGTATCTGTATTATCTTTGAACAAAGGAGAGATAATTAAACTATTAATGGTAGCACATATGAGTAACACAACACTCAGGAAGTGGAAGCAGCAGGATGAGAGAGGATAGCCTCTGCTACTACACAAGAAGATCTAGGTCAATCTGGCTAGACTGAGAATGGAGTGAGGTAAGAGTTCCAGGAGGGTCTACCACCTTGAACATTTTCATGCTAACAATGGTGGTATGAAGGGATCTACTTTACTACAGGTTTTACAAGTAGCTTTGGGTGTATTGATCAAGCTCTTTTAAGGAATTGTGCGACCTATAGGCCCCTTGTATCTTGGTAATCAGAAGAATCAAATGAAAAATGGCTAAGTAATGGAGTTTGACATTTTAAATATTGATTAAATGGTACATGTACAAGACTGGAATTGTGAAGTGAATGCCAAGAACAGCTTCTTGGAAGATGCTTGCTAAGCTGAACTAGTGCTTGGGCCTAGCTCATCCTCAGACCCAGCGTTGACTGAACAGCGAGTCGATAGATAATATTTTCTTTAGTCGTGTTACTATCTTCTTTGAATCATTTAACTTTGAAAATCCATGCACTTAAAATCTTGACTAAGTTACCTTTTAAGTATCTAATAACTGGAATAATAATTTAACTGCAACCCATCTAAGCTCAAGAGAGAAAAATAGAAGCTGCATCTGTCATGGTGATAACCTTTAAAAATTATAAAATGCAAGTGTGGAATTAATTTCTAGGAATTCCAGGTATGGACCTAGGCAGTGTTTGTCTTCCTAGCCAGTACTAAATAAAGCTTGCTTTAATTTGGTGATTGTGGATCTGGCCCAGCTTATTCCTTACCAAGCTGTCCTCTGTAACTCTTGTGCCACTAAGGAGGAGCTGAGGAAACGCCTCCCTTCTCTCTAGTCTGGGACTTTTTCCTTTCTCTCACAGAGCGTCCTAAAGCTTTGGGTCTGCTTTACTGGAGACCATTGACAGCTTTTAAGTCAGAGACTCTGCTGATCTATATTTTAAGGAAGTAAATCTACACAAAGCCAATAAGGAGAAGGGACTGGAGGAATGAAGGATTTGGAATCAGAGAGAATTCAGGGCAGAATGCTGTCAGGAGAAGGCAGAGATAGCAAGGACTTGCTGAGCCTTGAGTACAATTTGCAAGTCCATTAGGTCCAGGGGTGGTGGACTCATAGGGAGGGAAACAGCTGGAAGAAGCTTGAGATCGATGCTTCTGCAGAGAGTGCTGAGTTTTTAAAGACTTTTACTTGCATATTTTATTTTTAATTATGTGTGTGAGTGTTGGGTGTAGATAGGAGTGTCAGTGGAAGCCAGAGCATCAGATACCCTAGAGCTGGGAGTAGGGGTGGTTAAGCTGCCCTGTAAGGATGCTGAGACCCAAACTCTGCAAGAGCAGTCCTTGCACCTCCAGGTAATCTTCTCCCCAGCCCCACTAAAGACTTAAATCTACAGCAGTGGGTTCACTGCCGCTTCATTTACAGAACCCATAATAAGATCAGAAAAACAAACCAGAGCTAAAGAGATGCT